GGATTTTCACATCAAAAACGGTTAATTCCTCAAGTTATAAACCATAGAAAATACGAACAGGGCGGGGAATACCCCACTGGTGTGGGGAAGAGTAGGGGTTTGTAAAGTACTGAAAGGTAACAAGTGGATAAACATGAAACAAATGCTTCCATGACCTTATTTGTTCATACTGTTTGTGTAAAAGGGAATATGGTCAGCGCTTCCAGGCGAAAGAGTGTGCTAAAGAACCTGTGCAGCCTGGGATAATCTTTGAACACAACAGTGAATAGTAATGAGCCTCATAATAGTGCTAGAAGATGAGCTGCTCTCATTCTTCTTTCTGTCCAGAGAGCTATTGTAAAATTGAGGAGAAATCTGTTAGGAGATTCGACAAGCATTTCAGTGAAGACACCAACTTTAGTGGCTCCAGGTTTCCAAAGGTGAAACGCTGGAAGACCAGAGTTGTTTTTCAACAAGGAGTAGAATCAGTGTCACATATGTGCATATATGTTCCAAATAAAAACTGAAAATATGAAACCATAAAAATTGGGCATTAGAGACTGTTACAATGTGCCTGTTTTTCAGTTGTCTTCATGTGTCTATATCATCCCAGCAGTGTAAGTAAAGGAAAAGTTTTCTGTAAGTACCTTTCTGGGAATTTTTTGCCTGTAAAGAACTGGAGAACTGTCTTCAGCAGTTCTAGAGTTAGTATTTTCATTTTAGTCAAAGCTCCTGCTCCTTCGAGCTAGTACTATATACTACCATCATGTAATTCCTTTTCCAGTTAGAAATATGTTTTAGCATTTTGTTTTAATATAGGCTGACACTCGACTTAAGCAGTAAGAGAGTAAGAGTTAAAATTCACATTTGCAATTCTCTATTATGTACCAAATTCTTTTGAGTTCTACTAAAATCACAGCAGACTTCATACAACTTATTTGCAACTGTCGCTGAGCTATAGGTGCTGGTTTGAAAACTACTGTATTTGTAGTTGGCTTATTCAGAATAATTTTATCTACCATAGAATAATGTTTAGATTACTGATACTGAAAAGCAGTATAAATACTATAAAGCTTCTAGGATATTTTTGTTGTGCTATTTTGTAATTGGAGGTTAGAGTTTTAAAATAGACAAACTTGAACGTGTGGCTAAACTGAGCTGGCACAGAGGAAATTGTTAGGCTTGGAAGCCATGGGAACTTTCTCAGTTTGTAAGACTTCCATAATTTTGAGGAGCGGGATACTAAAATGGATTGAAGATTTTAATTGGTACATCATGAAAGTTGGTAACTGATACACAGAGAGTTGTGTTTTGTGCTTCTTTTGTTTGTTTTCCTCCAAGAAGATATATATACTCCTAAATTACTATTACTCTATTAAAAATGTCCTCATCTGTCTCTAGGGCACTGATTTTAATAAAAAAAAATTGAATATTGCTTGCTTTCTAACTCAGCTTTGAAAAATTGTATACTAATGTTCATGCTAGTAATATAAGTATTAAATTTAGCAGCATAATTCAAAAACAAAAAAACCTGCTTGCTGTGAGAGGTGTCTCAGATACCTACCATTCTTTAAACAGGTGCTCTTTGACAGAAAGATAATTTTTATTGCAAGTAATGCCAATGCTGTACTACTGGTGTGGTGCTATTTGCTGGTGCTACCAGTGGCGTGGTGCTGTTCGCAGCCGTGTACTAGAGGCCTCTTTCCAATGTGTGTTTATCAGAGCAGATATGGTAGGTGATGGCAAAAGTTGACTTAGCCCAGGGCCCTGTCTCTGACAGTAGCCAATAGTTGATGTGTACTGAAGAGGCTAGAATGGAGCAGATATATAGGACGGTCCGTCTCTGGAACAATATCTCAGCTGCAAACAATTTTTGGCTGAGAGGAAACTCTAAGCTTACATAATACAGTAATTATGATATGAATTTATCCTGTATGTTGTTGGGCCCAGCGTGCAAGCATGTGCGGGTAAAACGATGGTTCTCCCTGCCTCCTCCACCCCCCGCCCTGGAGATCTAGGGTAGTCAAAAATACAATATTGTATTTCTGTATCAAATGTCCTTTTCATGTCAGAGATACAATAGTGAGATAGTCTTTTTGTTTTCTTGCATATCTGTCCACCTTTCTATTATGTATAAGAATATGTGCATTTCTTTTGTAGCCACGTCATGAATACTTTAATGTCCCAGTGTACTAAGTGGCTTCATTCATCATGCATGCAGAATTTCAGAGGAGATAGACCTGTGGCTTACTCATGACAGAACATTATCATCAGCTTGGTGAATCCAGTCATCTTGAATCTAATAGACTACCACAACCATTCTCTGCTGTTGTACTTTCCTCTTCCCCTTCTGTTTTACAGTGTTGTCTTTTCACATGTCTCATTTCAACAAAACTTGTGCTTGTTGGCATATGGTTTAACTTTTTTATTGTGTGTAAGCTTGAAGTCTTATGCTTAAAAGTTCTGTAGAATTTTCTGAGCTAAACATTTATATACTGCAACACCTATACTGTAACACTACTTGACCTGCGTTTTATCTTTCAAACAAATTGTGGTATTTAGACATACACTATAAAGACTTGTAGATGAACTTAATATTTACAGGGAAACTAGTGAAGGAATAGTAGTATGTGAAATGTGTATACACACAAGTATTACATGCTGTTACATGCAATTCTATGCAGAACTTGCATCTTAATTAAAGATGAACATGCCAGTATTCTTTTCTGAGACTGGCACGATGGTGTGTCTTACCTTACCAAGAGGAGGAAATCAGAATTGATTAGGGCAAAGAGAGTGACTTATGTAAATCTGAAGTTATATTTGTATTTAAATGTTCAAAACACTCCTGTGAGTAGTTGAACAATTGCTGCTACTGAAGGAGAGAACAAGTTCATTGCTTTACAAGTGGTTAGGGCTGGAAAGATGGGGTTTTTTTAAGTCCATTAGCAGCATACTTGAAATATGTCTCCTTCAATTGGCCTTTTCAGTTTTAAGTGCAGACTACCTTATATATCAGAGAACTGCCACGAGGATGAATATGATAAGTACCTTTCAATTAAAGTGTGGGCAGAGTGAGAGGGCATGTATTGCATCCTCTGTTTGCCTAGTGGAAGAGAATAATTTGTAACCTAAAATCAGTGCTGGTTTTGAAAATTGGTTAAATCTAATTAGCAAGGAGGTGGTTACTGAGACTAACCACAAACAGCTAGTTCCACATACTATATGTGGTAATGCACTACTGATTAAATGTTAAACTGACATAAAAATGGGAGATTTAGGGGATTAGAAAAAAAGATTTGGTTTGGACTTGCAGTGTTCTGAAATCTTAAAAAACAAGATCATAGGACTGGTTTTCCATTTCCAAGTTTGCCTTTTTTCTGTAAGACATTAACAATGTGTTTGAATGTCTGGTTAATGCTGCTTTAGCCTGCATTATTTCATGCCTGTTGGCTTAAAATGCTGTGCATTGAGCTGTAATGAGATGCTGTTTTTCTTGTTATCTGTATACAGCTGCTTGCTTCTAAATGACTAGGTAATGAATTAGCTTTCCTGGCATGTTTGAAATAAAGTATTGCATGCACTTTTGTCTCATGTGAATGACTTTTTCCTCATCTGTGTTCTGATATATTTCAAATTTGCATTGTTTGCCTTGGGTGATTCTGAGCTGCAGGTAGTGTATAATGTTTTCCACAACAATTGGATAAAATGTTTGACACTTTCTAAAACAAATAATGTGAACAAAACATAATTCTATTTGTTTCTTAAAAGTCATAGTTGATGAAATTATTCTACTAGCAAAACACATTAGCCTTTAGGTGTTCCTTTTGAATTTATGTTGCTGATATGCACATAAGAAAGCATGTCTGCCTCAAGGGTACTGCTGTAGTATTAAAAAATTAAAATCTTACTGAGTTTTATTGGTGAGGTACCTGGACAAATAGCCAATGTCCTTGAAATACGTTGCTTTAAATTCATTGTTAGGCAATGACCTTGATTTACTTGAAGAAATTTAATCCTTATTGAAGAATATGCCTGTGGAAATTACCTACAACTTTGAAATGGCAGTGGAGACAATAATACTAAACTGCTCTAAAGAAAGTACCAGCAGTGTACTGTATTTCTTCATAGCTATTGGGCAACTAGCAACTTTTTTTCAGGTAATTAAGTATATATCCTGTTTCACCACTGAGTCACTGTAAGTGTCCGTTGCTGTCTAATCAATTTTAAACTGTGAAAAGTTGTTTTATTACAAATAATTTCAAGATCCTGAAATGCTTGAGAAGTTAAAATCTCTTAAAATACTCTGAATTTTGTTGCTACGTTTAAGAATGTAGGATTTTTTTGAGTAAAATGCTTCCAGTTGGTAGATGGGGGAGACACATGTCCTCTAAAATGAATGCAGCAGAGTAATCTCTCAATATAATAAGAGAGGTTATGTTAAAACTGCTACATACCCTCTTCTTCAATTAGTATCTCCTTTTGTGGGATTTGGGTTAAAATACACATGCAAATCTTTAATCCTGCCATGCTGTCTGGCTTAAGCAAGGTCACTGCAGTTACAAAAATATTGAAATATTGCATCAGTGAGGAAAAAAAACCCACTATATCTGTAATGCACCAAGTATCTTGTTTCCTGTTTTAACTTGCCTTTTTCTTGCAATTTCTTGTTTGCTGCTGGATTTCGGAAGCCATCTGGAAGTGCTCAGAGGCGGCCTGTTCCAAGCACTGACTTATTTTCAAATGAACTTGCCTTTAAAATATAATAGCTTGTTCCTTCAATACTAAATCACCTTATACATGAACTGAACGAGGACTGTAACCTCAATCATGTTGTGCTCCATAGCCAAGGTTGATAGAGACAATGTTCTGGTGTTAATTGCAAGATTTAAGTCATTAATTATGTATTTTACTGACAAACTTATTTTAATAAATATTTATAGAGCAGTTGAAAAATAATTTGTTTGCTGCCTTAACTATTATCTGCTTTTTTTTCTGCTTCATGACATGTCTTGTTTTAGGATGCTAAAGTAAGTTTATTCATACTCTGGATACTAAAATAGTTCTATGTTTCCATAAGGACACAGTATCCCTTTTTATTTACTGTGATATTGTTAATAATTATGGAAAAGGACAGCCTAATGTTTCTAATTAAACTACTGTTTCTTTTCAGATACTATAGGAATAACGAATACAAAACTGATGATAACCCTTTGGAATTTTGTATTAAAAAACGTGCTCTGAATCTAAACAAAGCTTTTTAAGATTAGAATTAAAATAAAACTTTATGCCTGGTGTGGAATAATGTAATTCCAATCCTGGCAATTCCTCCATTTCTGTAGGGGTCAATTTATTGACAGCAGATGTACCAAGGTACCTTGACCTGGTTCCATGAACTAGGCATGGGACTGGTGAAAAAAATCTAGGCTCTTCATAAAGAGCTTAAGGGATACTGTCTCTTAGTTGCGTCAGTCATTTCATTCATCCATCCATTCTTCCCTAACGGATTTTTGAGACCCATGAAACAATTCACCACAAAAATCACTGACTCCGTTGCAAGATGATTCCCCATCCCTCCCCAATGCATCTCTCTGACTGGATTGTGATTTGTTCCCTGCTGGTACATCTGAATTGCTTTATTTTTATTGCGCTTAAGGGCAATAAAATCTACCAGCTATTCCTGTGAACCATGACAATCTAATTAACGGCTCTTTGAGAAGTGCAGCTAATACCATGTTTGCAAACTGCATTACTTTCTATATTTCCATGTCTTTCAGCTTTTTTTTTTTTTTTTAATTAAGCATCTTTCATACTAACTCATGTGTGGTACTATTCAGTAGAAGCACAGGGTCCATTTACCATTGTCTCAAATTTTCCCTCCATAGGAAGCAGAGACCCCACGTAGTGTACTTGAAGAAATTGGATTGACATAAATCTTCACTTCAGCTGATGACATCTCAGTGTTTCATACTGTAAATGTTCACTCTCTTCATTGTAATGTTTAGCTAATGGTGTAAGATGCTGTTTGTCAGTATTACTGTTTTGCTAAGCTGCTTCATTCAGGCCTACAAGAAAAATACTCTTTTGAAAAGGGAACAAGGAACTAAAGTCCAAAAATCACAAATGAAAGGGAATTGGATATAAATTGACTCAGTGTCTCCCTTCACTGCGTATTTATAGGAAGATTGCATTTGACTACGATGAGCGTACTGTTTTTTATAAGCAAACTTAACTTCAGGAAATAAATATCATTATGACATAGCATATCTAAATGAAAAGAAACTACATGGACAACTCCAAATACAAAATGTTATGATGTAGAAATTGTGTTTATGCAACCAAAGACTTCTGTTCATCTGCATTTTAGTCAACACTTGTGATAATTCTGCTTATTTCAGTTGATGCATAAAGATTGGAAATACCTGTTTACTACTGAATTTGTCATTATACCAAAGAATCCTGTTGGGATCTGCATATCAAACTGGTAAAAACTGTTAAGGTGACAGTGCTTTTTGCAAGAAAACTGTAAACTGATTGATTCACTAGAAATGAAGGTGTATTTAAGTGTAGCTACCTTGAGCAAAACTGTGCAAGTTACTCTACTAAAAAGGGAATGCGTGTAGTAAAAAAAAAAATCATTCCAAATAAGGAAATTGGTTTTAGATCTGATATTAGCTTACTGTTAATGAAAACGCAAGGAAGGAGATAGGCTTTCTCACTGTGTAGAGAGGTACATAATGCAAATTGAATACTTTTGAAGGTGGGGAAAAAAAAGGAGCTTTACAAAAGGGACTTTTTATTATTTTCTTTCAAACTACAAATTGATTTGTATTTATTGGTGTTTTATAGTTATGCTTTAATCAGTGTATGGGTACCTTTAAACCCCACCCCCCACTGTAAGTGTCAATGTCATTTTAACTCCTTTTCTTGACTTACACACGTGACACAACCCTTACGAGACTCCTGCGTGATGTACAGTTTAACCGAGCAATTTGCAGTGAGAGCTTTTAAATATTAGATTTGTATACTAGATTTACTGCAAATCCTGTAAAGTGATACCGAGTAATATTTTGACACTTGTAGCAGACTTTTCAGTCATTAGAAACTAAACCTCTTTCCCTTGAGGAAGTTTGATTGGCGTGTGCTTTTTGAGTTCCGAGGAGGCAGTGGCCACGCTCTGGAGTAGCCAAGTTCTGCTGTGTCCCTGAGACGATGGGGCTGCTCCCCTCCCTTCCCACCCCTCTAACTTCCCTCTGGGAGTCAAGGCTTTGGCTTGTTCACTTGAGTACCACGTAGTGCCACGTTTTCACAGCGCTCAGCTTCGGCGGCGTGGCTGGAAGCAGCCCTGTGCTGCCAGCATAAGCATTAACACAGCCATCTGGGGAGCGAGACTGCGGGCTCCGCGCCATCCAGGCTAAATTTAACCCACTGGGAAAGACTCTGTGTTGCTGCCTGCAAGTCCCCTGATCCAGATCCCAGAAGGGCCAGCCAGGGCTGGGGTGGGTCTGAGGTCTGGTGGCAGTGCTGGGGGGCAGCACGTGAGTTTACGGTGTTAGAATTTGGCTACTTGTGCCCTTTCTGGGATTTAAGCATATCCCGTTGCTAGAGTTTTACAGATTGCTATTTTACCTAGGGCAGGGGAAACCAGTGGTGTGCAGGTCCCCAGCCTGCAGGGATAGGGGAGGCTGAAGGGGCAGCAGAGTGGCCCTGGGTGTGAGTTTGAAGTGGTAAACTCACCTTAATTTAAAAGTCAAACCCGAAGCAATTTTCTATGTATTAAACATGTTTTTAAAGTTTACACTGTCACTTGTATGTGCTTGGCTGGAGTAAGCTTTGTTGTGATTGTGACAAATAAACTGTTTGACCTCTGTCTGTCACGTTGGTTTAGTTGTAATAAATGTCCATTTTTACACCATTGCTTTGTGTTTACATGTAATTAGTTGTGGGTTTGTTGTTTTGGTTTTTTTTTTGCAGAGGAAAGAAGAGGCTACTCAGTGCTAGCTTAAAAAAAAGGGAAATTTTATTACAGTGCTTGACCTGTTCTTGAGCACTTTATTAAAAAATGTGTGAGTATACTGTGTCCAAGATTAGTTATTTACATCCATTTAAGTTGTACAGAAAGCAATAAATTAGCAAGTTTTTGGAAGGCTTACCACCTTAAACATGAAATTTATTCAAGTGGATGTTAAATTGATGCGGTAGTGCCACTTCATTTGAAAAGTAAAACAAACCACATGTTGATGGAAAGAGGGTTCTGGATAACACAAACTCAGTATTCAGTTCTTTAAATGGAATTAAGAGCAAGTCAATGCAACTTTCACAATTCTAGTCTCAACCAAACATTTCTCAGATGAATCTGTTCTTCAGCTTTCTAAAAGAACTGAACTGGTTGACATTATCAGCCAAAGCATGGTGAAAACTTGCCATCTTAGAGCATTTCTGAAATCTAACATGAAAGAAAACTTTGTTTCTTAAACTTCCTATCGTACAGAAGAAGGGGTTGGAGGAGCTAAAGAATCCATTAGAATTTCTGGATTGTTTAAGCAAGTGATTGTTGGCTTGAGTGTCTTCAGCTTCATCACTGAATCTTAAGTCTTTAAGAGGCTTTCCTGAACATCTGCTGGTCCTTTAGAGTCAACACCACGATGACGGTCGCCCTGTGGCTGCCTTTGTTAAGTTCCCATGCGCCATGGGTTGTTTTGGAATCAGTCTCATAGTTCACTGAGGTATAACTTTTGTCAGTGTTATCTCTTTTTTTTAAAAAAAAAATAAATCAGAGATAGGTTCTAAATTCAGCTGATACATCAGTGCTGAATAGAAGGGTATGTGGAATAATAGGTGTTTCTTTTAATTACAACAAACTTACAAGTGAACGCAACATCAGCTGCACTCTTTAGATGATGGCAGAAAGTAAATTAAGCTGTTAAGTTTATTAACTAGCACAGACTTTCATGTTTTGTAAGAAGTGCTGATCCAGGACAGGAAGCAATAGCATCTTTAAGCAGACTTTGGAACTTTTCTTTGGAAAAAAGTTATTTAGTGCACTGATAAACTCCAGGACAATTTCTGATTACCACACTGAGTGTGGTAATGCAAAACCCAGGCTGAGAAAGACGTGCCGTGGTGGAAGGATGGACCCCTGGGGAGTTCCTTGGGATGCGTTTCAGCCCACCTGCCCTATGAGCAAGGGAAGGGCGGGAGAGGGAAGGCTTGTTCCCCCTCCATAACACAGGGAAGCCTGGCCTCCAGCGCGCTGCCCCTCCTCTCCTCCCCGAGATGGTGGTCAGCTGCTCGGGACAGGCGGAAAGGGCAACCACAGGGAAGCAGCCACCACCCAGCACTTACAGGAGCTCCCACCACACCGTTGTCGTTCCCCATCTGCCACTGGAAAAACATGATGTGGCTGTGACCCTCTTCCCATGGGAGCAGATCCTGCTCCCCATCCCGACTGCCAAACGGCTGCCTGTGGCCGGCCCCACCAGGAGCACCCCAACTGCTGCCCTAACCAGCTTCTTGCAGCTCCCTGTAAATGCCTGCTTTCATCATCCTTCTAAAGCACCCCGGTGACTTCCCAGTGCAGAATGCACAACTGAAAAAAAGAGTTTTGAAAGCCACCGCTTTTAAGCAGTCGTTAAAAACAAAACAAAAAGTGGCCAATATTAATTCCCTTTATACGGTCCTTTTGTGTGGACTATGCAGAATAACACGCAGTGAGAACAAGCTATTCCTTGCAAATTTAAATCCTTTCTGTGTTCTTCTGGGGCTTCTCCCCTTTGGAAAAAAAAATAATTAAGCGTAACATTTAAGAACCTCTAGTCTCTTTGTCTCTTCGGAATAAATAGCTCACTCGGCTAATAAGGAAACACAAAACCATGCATATAACACTACTAAAGATTATGAAGTAGGGAAACAATACTTAAATATATGAACTCTGAAGTGAGAAAACTGGTTGAATTCCAGGTTTCATGCTAACAAACGCAAACTAAACGTCAGTTCTACAGCACTCCCTTTCCACGTAATAAACAGACTGCATGTGAAAGTGAATGATAATTACAGCCACCAGTCCTACACTGCACAGGTACAGCCAGTAACTTTGGGTCCAGACCTCAAGAAAAGAAGCTGAAGCTTCAGCCATTAAAGTAGCAGAAATAAAGTAGATTTAAATTTTCACATGCATCTCTGAGCAAGTTTTTTTGTTGGTTTTTTTTTTTTAATTATAAGAACTTTCTTTTTTAAAAAAATAACAGCAGCTCAGCTTTCCAGATCCCATTACAAAACTGTGGGGACAAGGAGCCTAATTACCTGTGGAATTCTCACATGGGTCTCAGTTGGCACTTGGTTTCTAATCCTTCAGCAGCCTGCTTGGCTTATTTCACCCCACCCCTCACAGGGTCCCACCACCCCCTTCCACCACTTCTGTTTGAGCTCGGTAATTGATTTTTGCTCATTTAATGCTCATTTAATAAGCCTGCCACATGACACGGGACGTACGACATACTAGAGGTGGCATAAACCAGCTCTTTCCACCCGCTCTCTCCACCCAGCAGGCGAGTTGACCGGCAGGAGCTGTGGGACGTGAGGCAGCACCGGCCAAAGGAAGATGCCATCAGCCTGTGGTGGGGCCTCTCAGCAAGTAGGAAAGTGGCAGAACTGAACCTGGGTTTGCCACATTCTGCCCAAGTGACCCAACCAGACAAAGTGAGCATCTGTGAAAAAAATAGAAACCTCAGGGGAAAAATCTCTCTGTAAGGTCTAGTCAGAAAGTGACGCACTATGAGAAACCGGTGGTCACAAATTTCTCAAATACAATTTAAAGCTTAGTGCTGTGTATCCTTTGAAAGATGCCTTTCAAACAAAGTTATCATTTCAAAAGTTATGCTATTAAATTACAAGTCCTACATCTGTTAATAACTAAAACATTTAATCAAATTAACTAAGCTACAATTCTGCCTACAGTTATGACAATATATAGTGAAAGTCGGGTTTGAACTGAACATCAATAGATAGCACTTTTGTTGTATTACTCCATATTGGACAACAGTTACACATGAAAGAAGGAAAACGTATAATCAGCATGCTAGGTGCAGTATGCATTTAGAAAAGCAAAAATATATATATTATATCCAGAAACAATGTTTGCTCACTCTTAACTATTTGGGGGGGGTAAAACGGTCTTGCTGTGAGGAATGCTATCTTGAAGTTTGGGTATCCAGATTTTCTACGGGACTTTACGTTGTAACATTGAAGTCATAGCAAATACCTGTTTGGAAACATTTCATGTCCACTTTAGGCTTCTAACTCAGGCAGCACGTACAAGTTCTGCGGAGAGGCTAAAGGGAGGGAGGTATCTCTGCTGATACCTGCAGGGCACCTGCAGTGCCACAAACCGCTCTCTCTGAGCGCCTAAGGACACCCGGGCACCCAAATTAAATACCTGAAGTTACACAGTGTGAAGTACAGTCCATCTAACAGCACAAATCTTTCATTTAAAAGAGAAAAAAAATACTTGTAAGGATTTGTCTAATTGCTGGTACTTTGCTAATACAGCTGTCATTTCAAAAAAGTTTTGTCGCAATAATTTTTATGTACCCTACTCTCCACCTCAGGGAAGCTAGGCTGTAGGGTGCCTTAAAATATTTGTAAAATAAGCCTAAAAAGGCTTTAAGTCAAGTCCTCCTCTCCCAAAAAACCTCAAGTATTGTTTCAGGTAGAAAACCTCCAGTTTCTTTAGCCACTCTGCAACCATCTTGAGCCTTAGCAACTCCATACGTATCTTCAGTTACCAGACATACGCTTTTCCCCCACTCCAGCACAGGTTAGGCAGGTTGTTTTCAACTGCAAATGGTATGCAACCAAGAGGTATGCAAAGTATTTTCTGTCCTCACTCGAGGATTACAAGTGCATGGTCTCCGTCTAAGTTGGGGATTAAGGTACTGAATAAATTGATTGTTTTTTCTGTGCACTTCTTACTCGGTTTTAGTCTCCTGCAATCCCTACGGGCAATTAGCTCAGCAGCTCAGTCAGGGGAGAGAGAAAAATCCAACACTTATGACCACAAAGCTCCTACTGGGCAAGTATCGTACAATCAAACAGTGATGTCTTTTAGATCCCTTTTCTCCAACTCATAACATGATCATATTTACTTTGTCTAGAAGGAGATTTCCCATAAACAGACGGAAAAATATAAATGGCAGTCTTTTACACAGACTTCAGTTTGCAGTGTGCTGTGGTGTGAATTTACAGCACGCTGGCTGTTCTGTACTAACTCCTTACAGGGACGGGAAACACTTAACACACACATAACACAGAAATAAGCATATACCAAATAAGCTTTACTTCTCTTTCTCTTTGTACTCGGTATGCATCCAGATGTTGCAGCAGTTCAGAGGGACAGAGTAGCTAGAGTACTTGACATTCACACCTCATGTAGGACTTCAACTTCCAACTTGCTGAAGCTTAGCACACAAACTAGGTTCCCTTTATTAGGAAGAAACATTTTAATGTGCAAGAACACTTTATTTGAAACTCAAATATATCTGGTGCCCTACTGGAAAGATTTCTTTGTCAGCTCTATGTTTGATCAATTAGCAACTTCTAAAAGTAATTCTCACTTCGTTTTGGGTGTTTCGCTATTTTTTCCTCTGCTGCTGGATCTCTTTTTACCCCTGCTCCTGGATCGAGAGGAACTCCGACTTCTGCTGCGACTGCGTGTTCGACTGTGGCTCCTGCTGCGGCTGCGGCCCCTCCTCTTCCTCCCCCTGCTGTGAGACCTCCTCCTTTCTCGACTCCTTGACCTGCCAGATCGGCGCCTCCGCTTGTTTTTGCGGCGGTTCTTTTTTCGCTCCGATTCTCCGTTCCTCCTGTAAGAGTGATCTGGGCTGGGGCTGCCCCTTCTCCTCGACCGGCTGTAATAGTCA